CTAAATATGTAATGCCAGCGATCAATTGCAAAAAGAAACACGAAAACTTTGCCGTCGTGGCCTACGTTCTCCAAAATACGCAGAAGGTGGTCATTTCACGTTGTTCAGCGTTTTGCAGAGGACGGCTACGAAATGTACAAAGATTTATAACGCACGTGTTTATCCATTGTTCTGCTCATTGAACTTTTTTTGGTGACGTTTTCGTTCCATCTGCCGTCTGTAGCGCACCAAATCTGTCACATAGAAAGAAAGTGAAACATCGCTTGTTTAGACATTCATACCTCTTCTTCTGTTTCAGTTGAACAATTTCCGTAAGGAAGAAGAGACAAGCGGTCCCACAAGCAAGGTAACCAAGCTACTGCATTTGTGTTTTGGTTCTTACCGGTACTTGACTTACTTAAGCCTGAGGTCACGCCCACACAACGCCGGAGAAATTTGAAAACGGAGGTTTCACTCTGAAAACGCATCAAATGTTTTCTATCCACACTACGCCGGAGGAATTTAAAAACGCAACAAACACCGGTCAATTTGGATTTGTGTTTGAGAAAAACCCGGGCGTGGAAATCACATGATTCTTGTGATGAGAACGTTTTCGAATAGCCTATGTACATCCGCCTCCTCGTGTATACAGGCTATTTTCGAAAAGCTCCGTTTTCAAAATGTTTTCCGTGCACGCGAACTGACGAAAAGACGGCGTTTTCGAGTTTCTCCGGTTTGAAGAATGTTTTGGAAAAACTCCGTTTTCACGTCGGATTAGTGTGGACGGTAAGCCTAACCGTAGAAATAAAGCTGCGTTTCATTACTCCTGCGGTCTAATGTGGACGCCGCCTTAGTGACTGTCCTTTTTTTTGTTTTGTTTTGAATGCAAATTTGTTGCGAGTGTTGCTGTTCATTTCCGAGTAAAAAGAACAGCTCCTAACCTGGAATACAAATAGTTAGTATAAAATGTCGTGCATTTAATTTAACAGGAAGACTTTAAACCTCAGTTGGAGTCTATGTTACAGTTCCGGACACTAGAGGATGGAGGTAACACGCGAGACTTCATTCTTTACAAGTTGCGAGTCAGACTGATCTTATCCCATCTTTGCTGATACATTTGAATGTTTTGTTTGACTCTATAGCTTCGAACTGGGGACAAAACATTCGTCTGTCTGAGTGAGTACCATTATCAGCTAACGCGATATTTTGATATCGCAGATATCAACCCCCCCCCCCCACGGGGGGAACTCCCATATAAAAAAGACGGGGGTCCTCGTCGTCCTTTTAGGGGTTAAAAAAGTGATTTTGGTACCCCTTAGGGTGTTAAGCCTCAAAAAGAAACAGCGGGAGTTTTAGTGGTACCTTGAGTATTGAGCCGAGAAACTGAATAAGACAGGAGAAAATGTGTTGTTTTAGAATTGGTACCTCTTAGGGAAAAATATTTCAAGCCACGCCCACAAAACTGATCCTGATACCTCTTAAGGATTCTTTTCAAAATTTCCGACGAGCACCCCCGTCTTTTTTATTTGAGTCCCTCCCCGCCTCCGATATCAAATGCTATGTTTTACCCATCTTTTGTACCTGTGCAATAGGCAGGCTATCAAAGAAAGAGTTGGATCAATTAAGGAAAAGAGAAGGAAAAAAAAATGACATTCCCCTGAAAAGAATTCTGTGAGACGTACATAAACACCATGATTAAAGAAAGGCATTTGATGATTTCTTGCGTTAAACGGTTAACTTATGTAACGTGTATAATATTATTTTTCCAAAGCGGTGAATGTCTGGTGTGCTCGCTGAAACTGTGTGAACAGATTTCAACAAGCAATCAGGGACTTCTGCTGTTTGAATGCGGTAAGTTAGTTTATGTTAAAGAGTTTTGTTTGCTTGCGCCACACAACTTGGCGTTTGTACTCTTGCAAAAAGAAACGCTTTAGAGGGGAAAACGAGAATAGCTTTTGACAAATCTTCGTTGAGGCACTCGTCAACTCTCCGACTTTTTTAATCCAATCAGAAAATAGCTCGGGCACGCACGAGTTTCTCCGAAGGTTGTCACGTAAATTGACGTCTAATAAACGAAAATTCTGATTTTCAGGTCATGTTTTCCACAAACACTGTGTCCCAGAGGCGGCGTGTGTGTTGTGCTTTCATCAAAATCTCACCACTTTGGGAACAAAAGTACTTTGAGCACACAAGACAGCAAAAACGAACAAGTATTCAATACAGCGAGGATTCATAGTTTGGGCTTAAAAAAACATGGGCCAAGCCAAATCTTAGAAATTAAATTTAATTACCAATATTATGTTTCAAAGCGGCACGAACTCTTATAAGTCTTAGCACTTCAACAGCAAACCAGGTTTGTCTTGGCAAAAGGATTGAAAAGAGGTATCGGGAAAGGGGGTTTAAAATTATCACGAACGCAAATTTTCGTCGTTATACTTCCACAAACAATTTTAAACTATGTTTTCAAACAGCTAAGCTTTGCCGTTAATTGAGAATTTGAGTATATTTGGGTTTATCTAAGACAGGCAGAAATTTGAGTAGTAAACAGACATACACATTTTAACCAGAAAATTTAAACCTTACTCAACGTTTACATCCACATTTATAAATAATTTTTGAAAAAGTGGAAGAAGCCACATGTAAGGGGACAATTCCGCTTCGAGGACATGAAGCTGGGACACCTCCTTTCTTATACAAAAAATAGTCCCTGCTTCACATCCCCTCATTTTTACCGACCTTTTATGGATTTTATAAAAGAATTTTATCAATGAAAATTTTATACGTAATTAATACAGAGATATATAGATAAAGACAGATTTTAAGACAAGTAATATTCTCGTAACACAAAGCGTGAGAAGTTCAGACAAATTCAGTTATTTTAATGACAAATAACGAAAATTATGATAACGACACCTGGGTTGTTAATAGATATAAGTTTACATGTTAATATCAATTCGTTCCAGGAAACTCTTAAAATAAATAAAAAACTGCATTTCCACAAAAACGAGTGAATCGCTTGTGATTCTTTAACACTTTTCCGAGAAACATTTTCCTTTCTCAAGGAGAACACGGTAGTAGTGTATTACGACGTCATCATATTTACATCGTAAAACGTGAACCTACTAAAAGTCTGTCAACGGAGACGACAAGAAAAACTCTTCGTCTTATTTATTTAAATATTGAGAGAGTCCACAGAGCTTTTCGCCTGCTATCTTCTTTTCTGTTTATACAGTAGCTTTGAGCTTGCTCGTGTTGGAATTACGTCTAACGCACAGGATGAACAAACTGTAAGGAATCTTGTAAACGATGAGCTTTCAGTAAGGATTGCCGTCATCTCTTGTTTCTTGAGTCTCTGTTGATTCTCGCCCCAGCACTGTTGCTCTTCTCTGTTTTTATTGGCTGTTCTCCACTGGCCGAGGACCTGGCTAGGAGGTTGGGCACGGAATGAGTTTTGATGGCGGGAAATCGCACGCGACGCTCTAAATTAGGAATGAACAAACCGGACATACGGGCTTCACGATAATGGAACAAACTGGGACACGCTACTACATGAAGTACATGCCTGATCAATATTTCCCGCAGGGTCATTGGATAGCAGGGTTGAGGGGGGGGNGGGGAGGGAAGGGTGGCGTCCCTCCAACTGTGTGCTGGACCGTAGTTGGTAGACTATGCGAGATGTGAAAATCATGACAAAATATGGCTTAACCCTGGCATAAACTGTTTCTTTCCAAGCGCACCAAATATCGTTTGAGTGTGTCAACATCCCTTACGATCCATAATTTTCCGTGCTCTTTTGCTTCATACTTTGACTTTTTGTTTTTTCATTTGATTGAGGAAAATAATTAACTTGAAGGGAAAATGCTCACCTGAAGATAAAGAATTTCTCCTTGGAGAAGGTCCTGCAGATGATGTTTGTTCCAGAGATTGAGAGAAGTGTGGACTCGACTAGAATATAATAAACAAAATTAGTCGAACAGCACACAGACATGGACTGTTACGGGAAAGATCGTACTTCGTTTTCTTGCTCTTCTCAATTTCCAAAATGTCCTCATTTCACGAACAACGAATAAACAGTTTACAACACTAAAGGAATACTGGTTTCCTTAGATTGTCGCGAACGAAAACTCGCAACTTGAAACCGTGAGCTTTACATTTATTGTAATCCATGGTCCATTGAAAATGTGTTGCAGCTGCATGAAAGCTTGATAAGAAAATACAAATATATATGTGTATAAAAACAAACTTACTATGAGAGGGAGGGTGCGACCGGACAGCACCGCAGGGTCCATGTGCGGCAGACTGACTGGAGAACGATTACTTCTGATGAGAAATTAACACAACAGCAATTGAGAATTAAGAAAACATGTTCCTTGGAGCATCTTAAGAAAAGTAAGGTAGGTAAGTCTGCATACGAGCCAAGTGGCCCATCAGGCCGGCGCTTATCTCCGGTTTCTGTAGCATAAAGCGACTAGGAATATTTCTACTCCCCCCTGGATGGGATGCTAGTCCATCGCAGGGTTTCCCCCCAGCATTTAATTCGCCGGTGCCCATTTATACACCTGGGTGGAGAGAGGCACTGTGAGAGTAAAGTATCTTGCCCAAGAACACATAAAAATGTCCCCGGCCAGGGCTCGAACCCGGACCGCTCGATCCGGAGAAAAGTATGCTGACTACAAATTTCTTAAACACTGTGACTCACTTGTGTGGCGAGGTTTTCTTGGTCCTGTTATCCGGCGAGTATTCCTTGCGGTCAGCCATGATGTTCTTCTCTTCATCCTCGTGTACAACAGCTTGTTTGTAAACCCAGCTAATGAACCATAACCATAAAGGTGAGTGGTATTGATAGAAAGTTGCGATCAGTTGGGTTGAATTAAACAGGTATTTGTGGCAAACGCTTTCGAAAATAACTTGGAATCACAATATCTTCGAGATTGTTCGTGTCATCGTCAACACTCGATAGTCTCCGGGAATCTAACCTTAAGTATTGTTTACCAGTAAAATTCGCGAGAAGTCATCGCATATGCAATTTCTGGCCCCCTCGTCCCCCCTCCTCCCGCGCATATCGTTCAAAGAGCGTGATTTTTATTTACCTGTACGTCATTTGTTCTCTGTTGTGTTGTTCAGTGGCCGGTGATGTAGAACCCAGATGACTTGCCATGGCTTCACGAGCTGAAAAAAGAACAGAATTTATTCCACTTGAGAAGACAGAGGCAGCACACACTTAAGTAGTTATACAATTAGACGGTTGTCATGTCATTCTGCATTTTTTAGAGCTTTATTGCTTAAACTCTGTAATTTAATAGTTACAAAGAACTCTAGCAGGGTGCCCTAACCAATTAGGGCACATACATTTTTTTTGCCCAGTCAGATGCAAAACCAAAAGAAATTATGAAACTAAACGCATCGATTGAATGTTTCCTAGAGTACGAGTAGTCCCTCTTTCCGTTAGTCCGTTGAACGTGACGCGAAAGAAAACCGCGAAAAAATTCTCGGTTTATTTACAGTCACGGTCGACGGACTGAGCGAAACAGGGACTACTTGTGCTCTAACTGTTTTCCCGCGTTTGAAAGAAAATTGACAATCAATCAATCAATCAATCAATCAATCAATCAATCAATCAATCAATCATTTCTCGACATTTCTCACCAGCAAAGTAATCCACTCTGTTTGGCGGCTGTCTTCTGGTGGGCGGTGGCTTTACATCCCGTAACTTATTAGTCTCCTCCAGCTTCTTGAATAGCGCCAGCCGTTTGTTGGGATCTTCATGAAATACAACGGTAGATGTTACAAGGCTTATTAATGAAAAGGAGCTAAATAAGCAGGGATAGGAGCACGGGTGGTGAAAAGAAGATCAGCTGCCTTACCTAGAAGCTTTTTTCTTCTCGCGGGATTATATTTCATCTTCTTCGCTCTTCTCATCATAAGCTCTGCAGTCTCAGAACTTCTGAAACCCCTTAAAAATAAGATATTTACTTTGAGACGTTTGTTTCGCTTTCTATAATGTAGTAGGTTTGGCAGAGGTCTCATTTACCCCACACTCGAACAAATGGCTAAAATTTTACCCCAAAAATTCTAGATTGAAGACGCAGCAGCTACAGAGATCCGTGTCAGCCTCTGATTGGATGATACTTGCGCGGGAAAATTTAAAACCTAGAAACAACCCATCAGAGAAGCTACACGGATCTACGTCATCAGAATGCAATGTTTCGGGTCGGGCTCCTGTACGGGTAGAATCACAGACATTTCCGAGTGGGAGAAGAATTCAACGCGCAAAGGAAAACCTCGTTTAACTCAACCTACAGCGTATATTTCAGAGTTTCTCAAACTGCTAAAAACAGATGACAAGTCAAGTGAATTCTTACCATTCGTTGGTCAGCTCCTCCGCTCGATGCGACACGTGACTTTGCACTCCTGACGTCATCGACGTCTGATCGTGATCTATGGTTGCCTTGCCGACAGGTAGTTGATTGACATCGGTGATCGGCGAATCTGCTGAACGCCAGGCATGGCGGGGTCTTGGTGCCGTAGATTCGTTTGAGACATCTCTTTGGTAATCGGTTTTGGAATTCTTTTGGAGGAATGTCTGTATGTAACGAAGAAAGGAACTTATGATAATAAGGGAAGGTTTCGATAGCCTTTCTTCACCAACATATTTCTCTATGCTATGAAGGACACTTATCAAACGATCCTTCTTTTCTACTATTCCAAAACAAAGGGAAATAGCAGGAAACGGAAGAAGTCTTCGGATTGTCTAGCAGACAGGAAAGAATGTGTAAGTATTCTACAGCTTCTCTTAACTCCGGTAGTGTAACATTTACAACAGCGAGGAAGTTGCAAGGAAACACGCCCCTACCTTTGACGACTCCCCGGGTAGCTTTAACACCGGTCCCCTTCAAAACAAAACATACAAGTTCAAATCAATACCCTGTATCCACTTTGTGGGAACTCTAACGGTATTCAAATACCAGGACATTCGGATGATTATCCAAAACTCAATTAAAGAACAACAGAACTTGCCCTCTCTGCCTGTGAAATTCTACCTTACAAGTAAGCTTTCTTGACAGGGTTGCCAAGACAACTTGCTCACAGGCTACTCGAACTCAAATGAATTTTGATTGGCTTAACGATGGGAAAACCAACAAAATGATGTCAAAACTGACAGCGCCAACAGTTAAACGTAACTACTTTGACTTCTCCGTCTCTCAAACCTAGATTTTCGATTGGCTAAAAACAAAAGCAACATAACAATGTTAATCTGAAAGCGCCAACAGCTGCAAGTGACTACTTTGACCTTCATGCTTTTCAGACTAATCTGGTAAACATTTGGGCAAACAACAGCGCCATTCAGTGGCAACAAATGAGAGCGCTTCGCCTCAACTAAGCACACGTTACCTTGAGGGTAGCTGTGGAGTTTCACTGGGAGTCCATCCTTGTTCCAAGGCGCTCTCGTCAAAATCAAACGCCGTCAGGTCCACTTCTTCGTCGTAATCAAACTCTTCCTCCCCCTCGTCATCGTAGAACTGAGCTGCTCTCAGAGCTTCGTTCAGACGGCGGCGAACTCTCTGGCCACGGAAATGTGCCTGTTTGTGAAACGACAAATGTGATTGCAAAATTTTATTGACTATTGACGTGATAGAATACCTCAAAGATGTGTCAGTTTTTGTCTTACCTGTATTACAGTAGCTGCTGAATTTCGCTGTGGATCCCACGGCTCTACAGGTTGTCGTTGCAGTTGGGAACGAACTATGTAGCCCCGCCATGCTGCCTGAATGGTCACAGCTGCAAACCACTGTGGAAAAAAGAGATATTCTAGTTTATACAACGACTGTTACACTGAATTGAAAAAAGCTATTCGCTTTGCACGCTTTGCTCATCACTAGATTATTTCAATTGAGGCACCAGAGTCAGGCAAATCTTCATCGGAGCACTCGAAGAGATTGCATGTTTCATTCTCCAATCAAAACAAAGTGAGCGCTTCCGAGCATTCCGAAAGTTGTCACGTGAGCAGGACGCCAACACGACAAAACGTTACATAGCAATTTTAGTGACAAAAACGCGGGCTCAGGCAACAGATCCGGACGGAAAAAATGTCTTCCTTTGAAAGTGTTTGAAGATTAACCCACCTTGGCGGTGTTGACATCAATCAAATGTCTGATATACCATCCTCTCCACAGTGCCTGTATCTTGGTTGCAGCAACGTGCCGTTCTTTCCTATACATACAAAGCACAGTAATTCGTTTAATTAACGTTGAAAGCTGTGGTAACCTTTTTTCTCCATTTAGACTCCAAATTCTCGCTACGAAACTAATGTTAGCGAAGAAATTACTTCTATGGATCTAAACTAAATGACAAAACCATAGCTTCATCACAAACACTGAAGTATGTTTCCCAGGCATTAACAATTAAAAGTGACAAACAAACCAGGTTAACGTGAAAATGCTTTGCCTAACAGTTTTTCAAAGACCCATATTGCAATCGGTTTTAATCTGTTTTCAATTTTTGTCCATCCGTATTTTCTCATATATTCGTTGTGTTAATGAAATGTTCCTTCGCTGCTTCAAGTGATTATTTTAATATTTTACTCAATTTGGTGGCCTTAAACTATTTGTCAAATGAACTCTCAAGCTTCCCTGCCCATTACCATCATTAGCAATTTTTCAACTTACAGAGGATCCAGAGAATCTCTTCTTCTTTGTTCGATGTCCTGGTTCACGCGTGATTCAGTTGTCTTTTGCTCAGTTGTGTTGACGTCTCGAGATCTCTCTTCCTTGACTACATGATGCAGACTATCTGGGCTGAAATTCTCATGTTCTAGCAGATGTTTCACCGCCAGTTGAAAGCGTTCTTGGTTGTGTTGACTCTGTTGTTAGTATTTTAATAGTAGAAAGAAAAAACAACAGGAAACGGTCAAGAGTTCTACTGAAAGGCAGGTGATAAGTGACAGCTTACTGTACCTGTTATGAAATAACTAAACTTTGGATTAGTCAATCAATTTACAGCAAATGAATTATGTTGTCTTGTATTTCGTTGTATTTTACTGTATTGTGTTGTGTGATGTTATATTGTTTTATTGTGTTGTTTTCTTTTTTGTTCTTTTTTGTGTTGTTATGTTGTGTTGTTGTTTTTTTTTGTTGTGTTGTGTTGTTTTATATTTTGCAGTGTTGTATTTTGTTCTTGCGTTGTGTTTTGATTTGCTTTGTTTTGCTGTGCTGTGTTTTGTTGCATTTGGTTGTGTTGCATTTTGTTGCGTTGTGTTGTTTTTTTGCGTCGTTGTGTTTTGTTGTGTTGAGTTAACGAAGTTCCCTGTGAATGCTCAGCTATTTTGATGACGTTCTCGTGTAATTTACCTTTCACCAAAGGGCGCAGGCATTAAAAGGGAATTGATGTCAAACTCAGAGACAAGCCGGCATTTAATTTTAATTTAGCTGGCCCAGGTTTGCAAAAATAGCCTGATTTTTCTCATAGTGTTTTGCATTAGTGTATTTATTTGGTGGCGCGAAACAATAGTAAAAAATCCAACTACCTTTCCCGCCTAAACTAGTAAACAGTTGAGAATAAAAATAACCAGTCTTACCAATAAACTAAGTCTTGTTAAAACACGCTCCGGATCTCTTCCTTGTGTTTCCACACTGCTGTTGCAAAATACACGCAATGTTAGTGTTATCGAAGTCACTTTATGCAAGTGAAAACCTGAGACATGTATTTGAAAAGTGGGATAAAGTTCTAAGGACAAGAGGGATCATCGCATTTTATGAACGTAATTTACGCAGTTGCGAAAATACGCCTGAAAAAAAAAAATTCAGTCACTTTAAAATAACAAAGTAATAACAAAGAATGCGAAAGAACGACTCGCACCCACAGAGTCGATTAAACGCTGTTTTCCGTAGCATAGAAAGATAGAAAATGTCGCTCTTTCCACTAGTTCTCCATAGAGCTTCATAAAAATCCATGTTGAACTCACCTAACTTCCTTTTCATGCCTTGCACTTAAGGCATCTTGAGATTGGAGTTGTCTCTGGCACATGGCAATAAAAAGAACTTGATTTTTATCTGTGACCTGCAATGGAGATAAAGAGGGTCCAGGTCACTTATCATAGCTAACCAAAGCATCAATATTCAGTCAGTGAAAGCTGGGTGATTTTACCTATTGGTCTCTCAGTAGTAAGCTTCTATGAAGCAATTTTTCTTACCTTGCTTTCCACGTGCATAACCTCGTCATCTAAGTTCCGAAGGTCTGGTAAGGCCTCTAGTATCAAAGCCCTGCAAATGTAATTTTAGATTTCACAACAATTTCCTTTGACCTTTGTAAAGAGCAAAGAGGGGTACCCTGTGGGGGTCCCTTAGGACAGACAAAAAGGAAAATGAGTAAGTCGTTTTAGGAACCTGCCACTCACTTATGAGGAGGATAATAGCTTAGAAGTGGGTTTGTGAATATTACCGCGAGGCACAAATTAAGATCATATTTAAATCTTGTATTTCACGAGGTAATACAATAAGGAAATGTGTCACTGACTGCTTGCACCTGATATTTGGAACGTCACGCAAAGCCCCTCTGCATCAGAGAGGCGTTGTGTGACACAATTCATAACCGCTTCTTACACGAATAAAAGACACGATTAATAATGCCATTGTTTACTTACCTACAGTTAGGATCTTCATACACAGGATTCCCTTCAACCTTCAGTGTTCTAAGTCTGTTACAGCCTTGCAGACCAGGTACAAGACTGTCTGTGTCTAAAGGATGGAAATTCTATGGTCACACTGAGATGGCACTGATTGTTACTTATGACTTTTTACCCTAACTTTACGAAGGGAAAGAAGGTGAAACAAGAAAATTGAAAGTTAAAAACGTTTTATTAGTACACAAACAATTTAGTGAGGCGGGGGGTGGGGGTGGGGTAAAATAACCACTATTTTGCGTTCAAAGCTGACATAATAAGCTGACAAGGAACTGAAGTCTGACCATTCTTGTCTCTAGAGGCCACGCTCCTTTTGGTCAGCACCAAGAATCACGACTTCTGGCCGATTCCAACACTGGAAGTCCGCAATTCACGGACTTCCCGTCACTCTGCACATGCTCAGAATCAAGTCTGACAAATCTGATTGGTTCTGGTCTCATTCTATTGTGTTTGCAAAGCCAATCAGAACCGGAATCTCACTGGACCTGTCCAGAGGGCGTGATTCTTGGTGCTGACCAATAGGAGTGCAGCCTCTGGGGACAATGGCTAAAACTTGATAAAGGTGAGGCTTTGCGTGTCACCACTTCTTTGGTAAAGAAATGATAAATAATCGATGATACAAAGAAGACATGAGTAAGCTGAGTGGTGTTTTCTGTGTATTTCTTACTTTGTTGCCTTGGTCATGAGACTGCTAACATGTATATTGTTACTGCGTCACTCAGAGTAAAACATTTATTTCATTGCAAAACATTGCTACAAAATGTTAGCAAAGCAGGGCTGCAGGTTTTCTACCTGATATTAGGTTGTTGCTGATATCCAAAGTCTCCAGCATGATAAAATTACCAAGAGGTGCTAACTGAAAAATGCTGCAAAGAAAAAATATTTAGTAATAAAAGTTACCTGTGAGATAATATCAAGATATCAAGTGCCCTGAACCCCCACCCCCACCTTGGATGTTTGGTGGCCTTGTGGATAATGCTTTAACACTCTGAAATAAGTGGTCTGGGCTGAGGACTGGCCAGGGTCATTCTGTCTCATATCCTTGGGCAAGATACTAAACTCGCATATTGCCTCTCTCCACCATATCCAATTTTATCACAATGTGTGTCCAGATGAGTAGTGAAGGCAAAATTTGTTGCTCAACCAGACAAAATTGCCGAGGGAGAACTTTGACATTAAGCACCCCATTCCAAGACTCCAGTAGTATATAATTCTTTAGGCTCTTAAACCCTCTATTAGCATCACAAATCAGTGGAGTATCAAGTTGAACATTTTGTAGCTCTCACCTGTTCTGGCTAACACTGAGAGTCTGGAGCAAAGGCAGCCATGCTTTTGACAGGGGCTCCATGGAAGCAATGCTGTTGTCGTCAAGTTTCAACTCTCTCAAGAGGACTGTATTTACAAGGTGAGGAGGCTGTCATGGATGAAACCGTAAAATATAGCTAATGAGTTGGAGCAGAATTTGAGAGGTCATACAGTGTACACCCAGTTCTATGACAACAAAATCATAAAACATAAAAAAACACAAACTGTTTATCATACAAACTGCAAAAATTGATATCAACCTACTTCTTGCAAATTATTTGCCTGAAGGTTCAACGTCTGCAGCAGCATACAGTTTTCAATCTCAGTAATGCGAGCCAAGTGATTATGCGCAAGACTTAGGTGTTGTAGATTTCTGAGACAAGACAAACCCTGTAGAAAAAAAACAAAATTAAGTAAGACAAACCGGAGAACTTTATTATATTTTTAGGTTACGTTAACAACTTTTTACATGCAGATATCATGCATTACTTATAAACTACCTTCAGAACACCATCCCCTCAACATAATTATGAACATCACTTGCTTGGACTTACCTTGGAGTTAATAAGTTGATTATTGTCCATGAACAATTGCTGCAGTTTGCTACAAGGTGTCAAATCTCCTATATGAATTAAAGGATTTATAAGCAACCTTAAAATTAAGATGAGAATTCAACATATTAATTATTAATAACTAAATAACATCTTGTATTTATTTGTTATCAACAAAAGCAGCATTTTTACCTATCCTTGTGATCTTGTTATTTGATAAGTCCAAAGACACCACAGAATTACATCCTTCTAAACCATGGATGGATGCTAAATTATTGTTAGCTAGAGAAATTGTTTCCAGCTTTGGAAGATCTTTGCAGTTGATTGCTTCAATCTTGTTGTCCTGAAATGAATGAATGCACAAAGCATTCCTCTGCTCAATTACGACATTTAACTATTACCTTGTAAAACAGCTACCAGACCAAAGCTTAAGTTTGCTGCAAGTGAACTGCGATGCAAAATAATATTTTAGTCTTGACCAATACCCAAGGGGGTATGGGATTTTATCCATTACTTAGCTGATGGGTGAGAAACATTCTTGGATTTTCTAGTGACTGTGACATATAGGCCTTTTGGCAGGCCTGGAAAAAATATGTTCTTTGCACCTTGTGAAGAGTTATATAGTACACAGCTGAGAAGTAACTGAAGAGAGAAATACCAATTTATTATCTAGTAAATCGACAGCACTTGGAAACATAACATATTCTAAATCAATAATTTGCAAGTTTACTTTAGTTCGCATATCAAGTGGTCATTGCAAGCACTTTACCTTCACATGAAGTTCCTGTAATTCCTTACACTTGTCCAAACCTTCGACAGCCAGTAATCCACAGTGCTGAAGCATCAGTGACCTCACATCTGGACACTGACTAAGATTTTGCATACTACAGCTTGGAATGTCTCTTAGAGCAATGTACTTCACCTGGAATACCAAACCAGTTAACATTTCAATTTCCATTTATAGAACCCTGGATATTACCCTGTTCTAGACTAAATTATTTATAGACTGGCCCCTTTTCCGGTAAATTATACCCTGTTGTAGACCAAAACTGTCTGATTTCTATACCCTATCCGAGACTACACTGTCTGAAAACCATACCCATATGGCTTATGTATTGGAGCACCCCACTAACCCCCCCCCCAAACACCCCAGGGCACAATAATCACATAGCAATACTTCAGAGTAAAAGAAACCAAATAAACTAATAAACATCCTACCCTGAAGAGAGGTATGTTAGGAGGCGAGGACATCAACAGCTGTTCCTCTGTTAAAATGGGAAGATGCTTACTAGCTGAAAACACTCTCCTGTTAAGAGAAAATCAAAACCAATTTATTTAGCCGTGATAAAGAGCAAGAGGAAAAAACTTCCATGTTTGTGGACCATGATATTTAGTTACCTTGGTCTAGACTTTGTTGCTACAGGATGAATTCTCTCCTCTACAGTGGATGTTGTGCTGGTGAAAAAACAAACAAACAAACACGCTCAACATTTGCATATTTTACACGGCTAAATATTGATTCTTTTCACCAATTTGTCCTCTTTGTTTGAGGTTAACAAGAACAAGGTAATGATAAATATCAAACGGAAGATAAATATTTCAATATTATTTATCATCTACCTCCAAGGAGTGTGTTCTTTGATCCACTGTAGTCGTCTTTCCTCTAGATCTTTTGTCAATGCCAAGCCACCCACTTTCTGTTCCAGTGCTTCTGTGTTATTTTCTGTCTTACTCTCATCTTGCTCCACTGATGTCTCCGTCTGCTCTGGTGGACTTGATTTATTTTGTGTAGTATTCATTTCAGCATCAATTTTAGATTTCTCTCTTTTTTGTAATTCCTTTCCTTTTTGTTTTCTGTCTTCTTCAGCTCTCCTCTTCTCGATTTCTAATCTTTCTTTCTCTTCTTTCATTCTCTTCTCTTCATCTTTCCTTCTTCTTTGTTCTTCTTTCTGTTTTTCTTCCTCTTCTCTTCTTTTTCTCTCTTCTTCTTCTTTCTTTTTTTCTTCCAACTCCTTTTCTCTTCTTTCTTCTTCTCTCTTCCTATTTTCCTCTTCTACTCGTCTCTTTTCCTCTTCCATTTTTCGTTGTAGTTCTTCTGCTTCTCTTCGTTTGTCTTCTTCTTCCCTTTTCCTTCTCACCTCTTCCTGTTTTCTTTTCTCTTCCTCAATTCTCTTTTTCTCTTCTGTCTGTCTCTTTTCCTGCTCTCTGATTTGTTGTTCATCCTTCAATTTTCTTTCCTTCTCAGCTGCCTCTTGTTTCTTTCTTTCTTCCTCTTCTCTCCTCCTTTTCTCATTTTCCTCTTTCCTCTTCTTTTCATTTTCAAGCTTCTTTTTCTCTGCTTCCTCTCTCAATTTTCTTTCAACTCGTTCAATGCGATCCAGTTCCTCATTTGTCCTTTTTATTCTCTCCAACTTCTTAGCTTCCAGCAATGGTTGATACTGTTTTCTAATCCTAAATCAACAGATAAAATATTATCAACACTATAAAGTTTTTTTAATATTTCCTTTAAATTGACCATTTAAATCAGTTTAAGATAATTTCCAAGGAAATTAATTTTCATATACTTGAGATGGTCATACCTGAAGCCTCGGTAGAACTTTTGTAGTTTGGTTGCTGCAACTTCTTTTTTCTGATGTTGATATTCTGCCTCTTTTCGCTGTGGTGCAAGAACCAAACCACTTAACATTTTATAGTTATCCATTATCAGACAATCAAGAATAGAATTACATGGCATAACAGAGCTCAGCTTATGTCAATTTTTTGTTTGTGAATAAAATATGCCTTCATCACCTTACACCTTTGCATTTTTATCCAATAGCAATCTCACAAACGGAATATCAAGCCTCTGTTTCTGCCTATCTACTGATCTAATACAATCGTAAAATCTCATTTCACTGACTCACATGTCTGAGAGAACCCTCTTAGGCACCATCTCAGGAACAAAAATAACATGGGTACAGTCTTAACCAGATTGTAAAGATTGTAAGTGGAGGCTTCACATATTTTGCTTCATAATTTTCAATTAACTCATAATCTATGTACCTGTGTCTCAACAAATGCCTCANATCAAGAATAGAATTACATGGCATAACAGAGCTCAGCTTATGTCAATTTTTTGTTTGTGAATAAAATATGCCGTCATCACCTTACACCTTTGCATTTTTATCCAATAGCAATCTCACAAATGGAATATCAAGCCTCTGTTTCTGCCTATCTACTGATCTAAGACAATCGTAAAATCTCATTTCACTGCCTCAGATGTCTGAGAGAACCCTCTTAGGCGCCACCTCAGGAACAAAATAACATGGGTACAGTCTTAACCAGATTGTAAAGATTGTAAGTGGAGGTTTCACATATTTTGCTTCATAATTTTCAATTAACTCATAATCTATGTACCTGTGTCTCAACAAATGCCTCATTCTGCTTCTTTCTTTCTTCTTCTAATGCCCTTATCTCAACCTATGGGAGAAAATAATTGGTCAACAAAATATTACTTTTGTGAGAAATGCTATCTAATTTTTTTCAGAAAACTCCTTTGTCTCCCATATTGACCAGTAGAGAGATCACTGATTGGAAACAAAAACATTATCATGTCACACAGGAAGGTAAATCGAAAATGCTAACTAACTAACTTTTGATTCATTATTTTATTTGGTATTTAACATTATTTTATTAGCTTATACTGCAGTTAGGTAGATGACTTTGATCTAACAGTAAAATTATAGCTGCATTGATTGTTCACCTGGAATTGTTCCTCTATTTGTTGTAATTTCTTTTCTTCTTCCTTTGCCTCTGCCTCAAGTTTAGATTGAAGAGCCTTTTAAATTACAAACAAAATTTTGTTACCTAGTTATAGATATTAACAAGGACAAAAATGAAATGCACACCAGAGGAAAACATATGGAATTCTTCTTTACGAAAATGACAGGTACCTAACAGCTTGCAGACTTTTTGTTTATCAACATCACATGCCAGGACTCAAAATTACAGCTGGTCAATGGACAACATCTGGCCAGAATGGTGACTTGACCAGCCAAAAACCTTCCCTCGCCAGTCATGTTGACCATATAATTGTAATATTCCATTTTTGGTTGATTGATTTGATTCACTTTTACGGTATTGTTCAGGCTCACAGTTTTTGTCAAGTTTTTTCCACATGAATTAGCATCATGCATGAAACATTATCCTCCCTTTGCACTTGACTTTGCTCATAACAAATCACATGAATACACATATTTGCACTGAAAATCTTGATTTTCCCTGGAGATTGTCTATTTCTGATATCTTTTAGTGTTTCAATAGTTTTCGATAGTGCAGCTGGTAAATCTTTATAAAAAATGAAATTATTAGTTGTATAAGAATAAATTCTTTGTAAAATTCTTCATAATTCCTCATTTCCAGAATATGACAGCTCTTTTCTTCATACCTTTTGTTCCTGGAGTAATTTCTTCTGTGCAGCCTCAAATTGCACCTGTCTCTGAAGACGAGCCTCTTTTTCTCTTGCACGTCTTGCCTCCTCTTCTCGCCTTCTCTCCTGGTACCACTCGTCTCTCTTTTGACTTTTTTCTGCTTGTTTTTCTTCTAAATCCTTCAACTGTTGTCGAGCAGTTTCCTCTAGGGCTTGGATTTCTTCTATAATTCCTGACATCAGTTCATTACAAAAAATTAGTTAATTTTTAATAAAAAAAATGACTTTCAATCACCAAGTTGATTCAGGTATGTAGATGAGCATTAAAAATTAATCCTGGACCATTCAAATTAGTATTTATTACCTGGTCTGATGATATCCAAGGCATACTGATTGTCTTCTTCATTGGTGTTTTCTTTGGCTAATTTTTCCCTTTCTTCTCTCAGCTCTGTTTCCTCAAGCTCTGCGAAAACCTAAAAAAAATGTTCTCTTTAAAATAACGTTTCTTTCAGTAGTTGTCTTCCTGTCCCTTGTTAGTTATCGTCAACTAATATATAAACTGTCATCTCCTGTGCCTGTGTAGTTAGATCTAGGCTTGATTCCCACTGTTCTCTCAGGTTCAGCCATGTTCCTCCCCAAGAAGAGAGGAGAATGAGCACAAGCTAATTTCCCCAAAACAGTGGCTGGTAATTGAGCCTAATTTAGATCCCTACCCACACATTTAAATTTTGTAGTATACATTTGAGAAAGATGTACAACTTAGATGTATTTCAGTTTCTTTATTCTACATGCATTGTGCTTGCTATGTCTATTGTTAAGAGCATTGTTACTATCAGTTCACCTGATCTCTCAGAGCAAGTGGATTTTCTTTGTATTCTTCACCAAGTTCTTCCTTTATTCTCTGTGAAAGCAAAGCTGCATCTTCTTTCACCAGGCTCTCTGTGAGGATGCAATATTTTACATAACAACACTAAACACTTGATCTTTAATTTAAGGTAATCTCAATCATTAATTTAACTTTGTCTTTTATTGATTTTAACATTTTATAAACAGCTTTGATATTACTATATGTAACCTATAACATACCTGAAGGTAATTTTTCCAGGATAATTTCACATTCTTTCACTTCCTCCTCAGCACCTTCTGTTCTTGACTGCAAGAGTCTCAAATATTCCTGAATTGAATCTGGTAGAGCATTCTCCTGAGACTAAGTATATCAGAGGAAGGAAAAATCAGATAGGGGTCATAGGTTACTCGTCCTAATGATATACTATCGATCTCAGACTTCTCTTGAAATAGCTTTTTTTTTTCAGGCCATTGCATGCACCATTGGCTTCAATCATGGATTCAAAAAAGTGATCATGTGATCACAAATTTCATGATTGTTTGATAAGTGAATATTTCCTGCTAATTCCTGCCATTTGCAAGTTTGTCGAGTTTTGCACTTTCTCTGTCACACAAAGCTACCTGGCTCTAGAAAGTAGCATTACGTGACAGAGAGAGGGCCAGAATTGGATTAGTACCTTTAGTTGACAGAGTAGGTGGCTGATTTTGGAATCTTTTGGAAAGCATTGGAAGAATAACCCAGCAGAGTGGCTGAGATTATAAGGTAGATGGTGATTTTTGTTGGCAGCCTGGTACTTTTGACATAACCCTGATAGAATGATACAATTTGTATGCCTAATTATAAAGTATAGGCTCTCAGGAAATGTTTCTCGACTGAATGCTAAATGACTTCCCGGCACAGAAAGTGGGGTTATGCCAAAAACATCGATACAATTAGCTTACAAAAATCCAATCTCCATGCAAAAAATACCATGGGGAGGTTTCGGACGTGCATATGAAGAAGTCGAAATAATGATAAAAAATAACATTAATTAATTTAACCTCGTAGAGCACGCATAATTACCACTACAACACTTATTTCTCTAATGTACCCCTGACTAAGTAATAAGCCTAAAACCTTTACTTGGAAATGCAAGTTTCGACGTTTTATAGAACTATCTAGTAAGCTTACACAGATGTTTACACGAAACTGCAGATCTAGCAGGCTATGAGATGACTACAATTTGCTGCATCTTGCTACAGTTTGAATTAAAATATTACATCTAAATCTGACAGAGTAAATTTCATAAAGTTCTGTGAAAACTAAGTTTATTATTAGGGCTTACATGGTCTGTTTTCACAGTGCTAGTTGAGGTGTTGTCTTCCACATCTTCAATCTGCAAACTGTCATCCCCAAGAGCTTCCAGTTCCCGCTGAATTTCTGCTTCGATGTCTGCTTCATCGTCATCTAAGATGCAAGTCATCTCCTCTTAACTAAAACCATTCTTGTTTAGGTATCTAATCATTCTTTAATTTTTTTCTTAGAAGACAAAAAGAGCTTGGTTGCATCAAAACAGTCTCTTCGCGACCAAAATGGCGCGCTTGATACTACATGACGAAGTTTTCTCTTACGCGGATACCGCTGTGGTCATCTTGGCTTGGGAAGTAATGGGGAAGGGACCGGACCCTCGCCAAGAACGTTCTAGAGTACCTCCAACAAACCATTACCCCTGACTACGTAGCAACACTTCCCTGCGGGATACGTGCAGGTAACCTCGTCTGCATCACGCTTTCCCGCTCCATTTTCCGCTTTCAAAATAAGGGTAACTGCCCAATCGGAGGTGGGGGGGGGGAAGGGGACAGATCGAATGTTTGGGGGTAGGGTAAGCAGGTATTTAAACGTGAATGCTTTACTTTGAAGAAAAACAGATCTGAGATTTCGTCAAGAGACGATGTTAGGGTCTCAAATATCACGTAGAATCGCCTAAATGTCTTGCCGGGAATTCTTTTAAAAATTGTAAATATCACAAAGCATTTTCCTTAATATCTCGAAAAACTCTCTCAATATCTCTTATGTTTTAAAAATACACCGCTTTCTTTGAGGAAGAAGATTCAGGCACGTCGATGCTACCTGGATCCTCCATTTTAAAAGATTACTGCTTTCGCGCTTCTAGAGATACTGAATACATTTTCAAACGGGAAATTGATGAACTGGATTATTTCTGGCATAGAACTGAATATTGCTTCAAGAAAAAAGCGAGGGAAACACAGAGAAACCCCCAAAAAACTATGAAAATTTCAAAACATCCTTAATGTTTCTAAATAGCTTTATATTTTCTAAATATCTCGGAAACTTCTCAATATCCTCCAAAATATCCAAATATTTGTGGAAAGGCTTAACCGGGAGAAACTCCAGGCACGTTAAACTGGGGTAAATGCATGATAAAGAATAGACGGATTGAAATCCAATGCCAAAACTGATATGCGAAAACGTGAGACAAAAAAACACATCTATTTTTTACCTCAAATTATTTATTTCTACGTACAATAACTTAGTGTAATGTGCTTTAATATATGAATCCTCTAATAAGTTAATGTTAAAGTGAAAAAGGATGGGAAGTAATCTGTTTACTTCGTCGTCTGCTTTTTCTTATTCCACTTAACTCTCCGCTAGTTGGAAAAGACCGCTTTAAAAATAAACTTCATATTATAACCCAATTCCTGACCGGTGTAAAGAAACCCCTTTATAGTTTAAGATTCGTTTCAAAATATATTTACTTGGAATAAATAACTTTTTTACCGCAGTAGCCCCGAGGCTCAAAACGTAGGGCTACCATCTGAAGAATTACTATGTTTAACTATAAGATGCTTTCTATCTGACCAAAATTCCGCTTTGAAACTCCTAAAATTTTCGGTGGATTCGGGAACGAGACAGCAATTTCTTGTTCACTAGGCTAGAATAGAAAATATTTTTTTCCACAATTTCTCATAAAGAAGACAACCTCGAAAAGCTTGCCTTTTAATACACGTAATTGTCGTTATTTTTTTATTATTATTACTATTTTTTTTTTTTTCAGAAATCTCCGTTCAATTCAAATTCGATTTCTGGAAGTTTCGCTCGGTTAGTTTCCATTTCAAAACTTCACAAGTATTCGGATTTTCTGGCAACCTTTCCAAGAAACTCTCACGCCCTTCACAGCCGTTCCTAAATTGCTGGAATTGTTGGTTGAATGGAAAGTACCTGTACAGTTGATTCACACCTACACCAATGAACTGCTGCCACAATGACATCAGTTTAAGACCATGCAGGTCTGCATTTTTCAAAGAAAATCCCTATGACTTTCATGAGCTAAAAAAAAAACATTCCTCTATAACTCTCCTCCCAAACCTCTCTCGCTAGGGTGCTTAAGCAATGACGGTAACGCCGAGGATGAGTTCCTGTAAAAATGGATTTACATTTTACTTTCGAATGTCGCTACTGTGTAGATCTATCAGTCAGTACGTCTAGCGGTCTAAAACCTTGTTCAAGTTAAATATGTTACGACAGCGTTCAATTCCAAAAGAAAATACGAAAAATTAGCCGTTGCGGTTCAGGTTCTCCAAAATACGTAGAATTTGGTCATTTCGCGTTGTTGTTTTGCAGATGACGAGTACGAAATGTACCACGATTCAAAACGCACGTGTAGAGCCATTGTTCGGCTCACGGCGACGGTCTCGTTGGCGTCGCCGTCATGGTTTACTAAAGCTTCCTACCAACACTAGCCGAACTCTGGGAGGAAGTTCTGGTGCCCGGAATGTTCAACATCCCTTTATTTTCCTTACACCCTGTTTTTTAACTTTTTGCCCTCACTTTACTTTTCAGTGCCACTTCGAATTTAAAACACGAAAACCTGAAATGATAGCGTTTGACGCGCATAGAAACCTACTATTTTATATCACATTCGCCGTTCTTGTTTCTCTTGTACAAACGCCATGTTCTTTGTATGACCTCTGCCGCATTAACAAGTTGGCGAATTCTCAACACTCGCAGGCGCTGTTCTCTGTTGAGAAAAGTCGCAGAGGGGATATCATGTCCTGGGATGTTTCCACCTGACTTGCTTGTCGCCTTTTTGCCAGGAGATTGCAGCTGTAAAGTCTCAAACTGATGGTCGCATTTGCTTTCCTGTTTGCTCCGTTCAGCTTGATCCTCAATGGCATCACTTTCAGTAATTGACTTATCTTCCACGCTTGGCTTTATCGTGTCGTATTCCACCTTGCCGGGGTCGGAAGATTGTTCTTTCAATTGCAGACAACCACTAGAAGAGTTTCTTGCAAACTTGGATTCACTATTTGCGTACGCTTTGTGCCTTTTTGGAATTGCCCTTTGTGCAGTTTCTGTACCATGCAAGTCAGAACACACACCATTCTCAATACGACGAGGAAATGTCGACTTGTAGTACAAAGTCTGGTGGGAATTGTTCATATAATGAGAAATCGGGCAGTTTGTGTCTACATTTCTCAACGTCCCGCGTTTATTTCTACCGGAAAACCTTCCCGGGCTTGAAAATCCTCTCTTGGAGTTCAAAGAACTTTCAGAAGATGGTTTCACATTGCCTATCTGAGGCAAAGTGTCGCTCAGTCTTCGTCTCGACGCCACTGGTTTGGCAACGATGGTTTTGCTTTTCGAAGAAGAAATAGACAAGATTGGTGAGCTCGTTACAGAGCGATACTGGGTTCCACTATCTCGCCCACCATCTTCCCAATATGACGTCATGGATGACGTCCTTGGCAAACTTGAATGACTAGTTCCAGACCGGAAGCTTGAAGTCGACCGCGCCGCTTGGTGGGACGGCGTCGTATTCGAGAAGCCAATTAGGTTTCGCATCTGTTCTCGGCGTGAAAGTAGTTTTTGACGAGTGGACATTTCTTTAAGTTCCAACTCCTTGAAGGTTTGTGTTCCCGCACGCTGCTGCTCTGTCGTCTGGTGGAAGAAAAAAATAAATGAAGTTCAACAGCTGTCCCCGTGCCTTCAGATATCATCTAAGTTCTCTTGAGGACGTTACTTGCTACGATCGATTTTCTTTTCAGAAACTGTTTTCATGAATAAAAGCACAAACCTGGCCTTGTTTTAGACGATCAGTATACTTCAGATCCGCTAGATTCTTTATCACAAACGACAGTTTGTTCTCCACTTCCCGCTACAAAAAAAGATTCGTTAACAATTGTATCAACACTGGGCAAAATTCCAAAATCTGACGGGCTCTACTGTAAGCCTGTGTTACAGCCACCCTCCCCGAAGAAAACAATTGGAGACAGACGCACTGGGTTGGGGTTATTTCAGTTGCCGTTTTAGCTGTGAAGTAATGAGGGTTTGCTTTCGTAGTTTTTCTGGAAATAGGGAACGTTTTTGTACTTTTTAACGATTACTAGGTAATTATTTTAGGTTTAAACAACTCATTTCTTATTATATTTGTACATAACTATTTTTAGGCATCTATTGTATATTACATATTTACATAGATTATATTATCCTATTTCTTCTTTTTCTTCATTTATACAATTTTGAGTTCATGCACACGTTTTAACGAGCGCTTGGGCTCCTAGGTGTCGCGTGGTTAAATAACGTGTTGTTGTTGTTGTTGTTGTTGTTGTTCAGTCCATTTAAACAGGCCAAAACAAACATTTAATCTTCAATAAAACCTTCAAACAAAATAATAGTCACTGTAACACAAACCTGTTTTTTCTGCAGGTGCAACTCCACAATTTTCTCATTTTGTAATTCTTCGGGAGGGTCGCCCCTCCTCAACATAACAACGAGACGTGCGCGCTGCTCAGCCAAACGGGAAGTAAACATTTTGCTTTTGTTCCTGCAAGGAAATAAAGCCAGTGGTTTATCAAGAGTGATGATCCGGATGACGCTAGCCCCCAAGAATAGTGACCCCTACTTTTCTTTCCAGAAACAGATTTTATTTACAATTATCTCCACATTGTCCAAAAAATGAACAAAGAATCAACGTGGGAAGTTGAAAAAAAATTCCAGATTTCTGTCCACGGGACATCGAATCCTGCCATCTTGCGGCTGCAAAGCGCGTGAAACTATGGTCGCTAAATGCGAACTTGTTGTTTAAGGAACCTCACCAGTTGACTAAATTCACTTAATAGGTCCACTTAAACAATATTTGGCAGGGAACATTTCACTTCAAAGATATCATTGCAATATTTTGGGCTTACAGACAATGTGGCCTTATTCGCTAACGACGCCCAATTTTTTCAGATTTCGGGTGTTCTTCCGGGCGTGTTCTCTCCAAAACGAAGTCGGTGACCCCCCATTTTTTTTTTTACATTTCTGACATAACTAACTCATCATCTTACAGTGGTAGTCTCAGAAAAAAAAAAATGTTGGAAAATTTTCGCGCGAACGTCCTTAAGTGTTAGAAGAGGTCAAAGCTACTTTATAATCAGCTTTATTTTTGTTAGCTGCGAGCAAAAAGACTATTATCGTCTCGCTTCGCCGGTAGGACAGTTCGGTTTTGACTGCTGCTCACACTGCGGAAGCAGTCGCCGTATGCAAGGCGTGTATAGTAAGATGTGATCTGTAATTCGTAAGTAATGTACTCGGGTGCAAACAATCAAAAAATAGCTTACAAAAGTGTCTCCTTCTGCAGTTCCAGCTCCCATATCAACACATTCTCGTGCCCAGTGCCAGCGGGTTGAACTCTCCCCTCTCCTAAACAGACGTCCTTCTGTCCAGTTTTCCTTCCTTCGCAAGTCTTCAGTAGACCAGTCTGAGTGGATACCTCACTCGTCCCAGGCCCTGGCGGCTGAGGCATCTCACGAGAGGGGCCTGGTAATGACCTGTCTGGTGTTGGTTCATCTTTCTCAGTGCTCAATGAAATGCCGCTCTCATGGGTGGTGATACTCCATCTATACGATACAAAAAGTGTTCTTTAGTGAAATAAGAAACGTGTAATTCCGTAAGCTGTTAGAAAAGTTTATTTATGGTATTTATTGGCAAGAGAAAAACAGGTTTGCTCATGCCCTCAGGTTTGAGCAACAGGTGTAACAGGTAAAGGTAAAGGTAAAGTCTGCATACGAGCCAAGTGGCCCTCCAGGCCGGAGCTTATCCTGGTTTCTGTAGCATGAAGCGACTAGGAGTATTTCTACTCCCCCCTGGATGGGAT